AATCAAAGGGTTTATGTGGTGGTTAAAATAATTACACAGATACTGAAATACAAAGATTGCAGTCAGTTTTACCAGAGATGACTTGAGGCAGAACAGATCCCAGTGTAGATGGTTAAAACTGGAAGCTGATGACCTTGTCCCATCAACCACTGCCAGCCCTGGATGCACCTTGCAGGGTGACATGCAGCAACATCATCAGGTTGTTAATGTGATGTGCTCCATTGTGGGCTGAGTGAGCTCCTGTTATGCTGGGGACCAGGGTGGACATCAGCTCTCTGACCCTAGTCAGCTTTTTCTGCCCCTTGTTCCTGATGCTCTAGGAATGAGCAGAATTACCAAAACCTCCAGGTTGCTGGGCTTTGTGTCCAAAAAGAATGACATGTTTTACTTGCAGCCTGAAAGTAGTACAGCTAATGCAAAAGCCTGTGGAAGGGCTGGGCAGGGCTGGTCAGCTTCTGGTGGCAATGTGAGTCAAAACCGAGTGAGATTGCAGTGATTTTAGAGGTGTTTACCAGTAGGTTGATGTGGAACACACAGTAGGCTTTTTCTCTTTATAACTATAATGGTTGAGAAATACAGTTTGTGAGTGCTAGTAAGTGGGTTTTTTTTGACAAGTCACTCCTACCTGGTTCAAAATGGGCTGAGGCTGGTGCTGATAACTGATTCGGGGTGGGATGGAGAGGTTGTCCCCTTGCTGGGCTCCCCCAGCCCTCTGAGTTTCCAAGTGCTGGCTCTGACAGGACTCAGCTCAGCAGCCTTGGGCACATATCTTAATGGTTTTGGCCTCAAGTAAGCCCTTGTTTTATGGAGGGGCAATTGCATGGTGGAGCTTTTAAAGTGAATATAAATCCTGCAGCCTGTCCTTGTCAAATCTGTATTTGAAATGCCTCTCAGTCTCCACAGGATTTATCGGTGTCATCCTGAAATCTTTTTGCTAAGGCACAGGTGTTTTAAGTGGTGTAATGCTGGCACTGCAAGCCATTCTCCATTCCCTTTGCTTCCCAGGTTTAAGGCATTATGTGGGAAAGGTGTTAAAGTGGCTGAATCAGTCACGGATATGTAAAGCAGGATAAAAAGTACCGAGAGTAGTAACCTCAGTATCTGAAATAGTCTTCACCCATGTGATGGAGCAATTATTAGAATCCCAAATATACCACAGCACTGCCCTGGCTGAACTTGCTTTGCACAGGGAAGAGGTTTCATCTCTGCAAGAAGTAGTTGCCAAGGTTAGATAGACTTCATCCATTTCTAAGTAAACTGTGGTTCAAAGGAGACAGGTGCCCTTCAGGAACAGGGGACAGGAGCATCCCAGTGCCTGTTCCAGGGAGCAGTTGCAGTGGGTAAGTGCTGCTTGCTTATGTATTTCTTCTCTTTCTTCTCTCCCAGCATGTGCAGAAGACTTTTTCTACACTTGTCAAGGAGGTGACACATGTATCGATGGTGTGGATGATGCTGCTGACTTTAAGAAAACCAGGCATGCCTTCACCCTGCTTGGTAAGGGGTTGCTCTGCTGGGAGCACAGGTCTCTTGCAACTGTTTTCAGTGTTTTGCCTGAATTATGATGTTCCTGTTGACCTAGTTGGCTTTACTTTGTTCTCTGGTATGAGCTGCAGAAGTGTTTCTTACAGCAGCAGTGAAATGGAGAAGGACACTGAATCCAAGAGAAGCTCAAATAAACTATTCTGAAGTCAAAGCTGTGCTGCAGCATTGACTTGCTGGTTTTTACCCTATTTACAAGCAGGAATAAAGCTATTACTCTGCAGTTCAGTCTGTATTTGGGTTGAGGGTGATGTCACTTCTTGGATCATCGCAGTACTGTACGACTAGCTGATTTCCTGGAAATAGTGAGCTGACATCCCTGCTGTGCAGAGCCCATGTCTGCACAAACCCATGGCTGTGACCACCACCCATGTGTGCTGAGGTGGAGCAGTGCCATAGCCTGCCTGCAACACTGGCTGTGGGAAAGGTAAAGCTATTTTTGCAGGGGAAAACTTGCCCAGTTGATTAATATTTATCTGAAACCAAGTGTTTAAATCCTGATAGGCCTCTTAGCCTCTCCATTGCATTTCATGTGTTGGCAGAGGAGCTCACGATGTTCGCAGCTGGCTGTGAAATGCTCTGACCAGCTGTATCACAGCAGTGAGTGTGTGGACTCACTTCAAGCATTTTAACTGCAAGTGTTTCCCCCAGATTCATCATCTGTGTTTTAGTGGGGCTCAATCTTTTTTTATTTTGGGTGGTGACAGTGAGAGCTTGTCTTTACCCTCCACTTGTCCAGGTTGTGTGACTTCTAACTGTTGACTGCTCACAAAATATTACTGCTGTTTGCTCCAAACTTGCCCACAGGACTGTAATCCTCAGGGAACTCTCTTTCCACCCCCTGGCATGTGTAGTCTCTTTGGTTCCCTTCTCTGCCCCTTCAAGGAGACCCCCTGTCTCCTTGCTGGTCCCTGGAAAGCACTGTGTGAGCATCTTCCTCTGTTGCCAATTCAATGCTGTTTTCCTGCTCTTCACATGCTTCCTCTGGCTCTGCACTTTCCTCATTTTCCTTCAGTGTTTCCCAGCTCTTCTTCTATCCAGGGCCTGGTGAAATTGCTACTGTACTCTCCAGCCTTGCCTTTCTACGTGTAACAAGAAGACAGATTTATCTGCAAATCCCCACCCTAGCCAGGCTTAACTCCAATTAAGAGTGCCAAGGAACAGCAGGGCATGGCTCCTTTTAGTAACCTTGAAACATTTCTTGCTGTGCTGATAGCAGAAAAGTCCCAGGCAAGAGAAGGAGAAGCTCTGGATAATTCAGAAACCAGCAGGTGATGTCTCAGACCTTGGGTGGATAATTAGGACACCAGTCCTGAACACAAAAGGGGCACAGAAACCCAGCTGGGCTGTAAAAAAAAAAAACAGCAAGGTATGGCAAGAGAGCTGTGTGCAGGCTGCTGCTGAGCAAGGCTCCTGCTGGGAATGCAGAAATCCTGCCAGAAAAATATATAAAGCAATAACATCTTACACCCCAAGCGAAGACTCGTATGTAGCTCTTTTTGAGACGCTGAGGATGGTAAGACAGAACTCTACATCACCTCCCTGCTGACTTGCTGCATCCAACTGTAACACCAGTGTGGTGGTGTTGTGTATCATGTGCAGGGCTTTAATTTTCTGCTTGTGAGACACTGGCGATAAGTAGTAATTTCTGTGTTCAATTGTCAGTGGGTACAAATCAGAGCGAAGCAACTCCTTGTTCTATAAACGCTACAGAGCCCCCGTAGTTCTGATCCTGTTTGATCATTACAGAGCAGCATCCTTGGTTTTGTGTATATCCAACCCATCTGTGTTAAAATTGAGAGTTTACAGTGTGTTTATTGGAAAGAGCCTCATAATTCTGAAAACCAGTTGTTTGGGGAAGGAAATCAAAACACCACAGATATCACTAAATAAAATGAAAATTGCTGGTTTTTTATTTTGTTGTTGTTTTGACAATCAGCTATCAATTGTTCCCACAGGAGTGAATAAGTCTCATGAGATGACCATTTTTAGGATAATTGCAGCCATTCTGCACCTAGGGAACTTGGAAATCCAAGAGGAACATGGTGGTGAATCCTGTCACGTGTTGGTAGGTCACCAGCAAGAGTGGGGTGTGTTTGTATGCTCATAAATCAGACTGTGAGGGATATGTGGAGCTTCACAGTCATATCCTTTGTGAGAAAGCCCTTTTCCTCCTGGTTTTCTTTTTCTTTTTTTGGTTTGTTTTGAGAACACATCATAATTTCCTAGTTGCTTGGCTTTTCCTCTCCAGACAGCCTGTAAACAAGATCGTGCAAAGGCTGTTTGCCATCTTATACCCCAACCCACCTTTAACTCTTCCTGCTCCTTTAGGACACCTGCTGCTCAGTGTTGGGGAATGGTGACTCCCACCATCAGAAGGTATGATGTGTTACAACCACCTTCCTACAAGCAAAGCCATGAAGCTGCTGCTTGTAGCGCAACCGTCCAGTAACTAAAGGATCACTGTGCAGTTAATTAGCAAGGATAAATAACACTAAAGATGCCTCAGTGGCAGTTTTCCTGTTTCTGTGTTTGTTCAGAGGTGGGGAAAAAAAAAGGCAATTATATGGAAAATATTGTCTTGTAAATTACTATTGCATCCCAGACTGGGTCGTTTGTTCCTAATTAAAGTATTAAAGCACACACTTGTAGTGTTACCCTTGAGATAAAGTGTTCAACGAATTAGTTGCTGGGGGTAATTTTCTTGATGTTTGGCAACATGGATTTGTGAAAGTGGTCTGCCTTGACAGTGTTGCGTTCTCTTAATGAAGTTCATGTTGCTTAATTACCTACAGATGCAATTGCAAGGTGTTAAATCAGTTCTGTTATGACTTTGAATCCGTGGTCAGAAAGGTATCGTAGCAATAAAGCATCCCGAAATGCTTCTGAAATGCCTTTTTATCTCCATCCCTGAGCCCATCCAACATCTGTACGTGCACATATCTAACTGGAAACAATTTTCTTCCTTTAGACATGTATTACTACACACAGGAAAGGAAAATTGTTTTCTCAGTGTCCAAAAGGCAGTACCTGCTTAGTAACAGAGACTTGACTGTCTTATCTTAGTTTGAGAAGGAAAAAATACGTTGGACTAGAGAAAATGAAGTGCACATATCATTCCATTAATTATGCAAAGCACAAACCCTTCTGGTAATGCACAATTTATAACTTTTTTATTGAAAATGGAGTTCATTTGTAAAAGCCATGGTGTCATGGCATACCCCAAGCTTTAACTGAAGAGTTTAATCGCAGTTGCTCTGAAGGAGTGTGTGGTTGCAGCTCAAGAAGTAAAGTGGAGAATACTCTTTCCTGTTGGAAGCTGCAGTGGAAATCTTATCTTTGTGATAATTGAGACATCACGGAATCAACTAGGTTAGAAGGGACCAGAGTGGGTATCTGGTCCAACTTCCTGCTCATCCTAGGACACATGGCACAGGATTGTGGCCAGACAGTTCTTGATTGAGACCTCAAGGGTAGCCAGAGCAGAGCTGAGCCACAGCCGCACAGTTTGGTGCTCCATGCGAGCTATTCCATCCATGTCCATGAAAACTAGCACAACTGGATGAGTGTCACTGCTTTTCCACTCATATCCCTACATAGCTATGAAATGCTGCTAATTCCTTGCACAGGTCTGTGAACTGGGATGTTAAAACTCCAGTTTGAGGTGTCACCAACCTCCTGACTTTGCTTCTCATCCCCACAGAGTGAGAATGAGCACTTGAACATCTTCTGCAACTTGATGGGCGTGGAACACAGCCAGATGAAGCACTGGCTGTGCCACCGCAAGCTCGTCACTGCATCCGAGACCTATGTGAAGAACATGACTCGGCCTGAAGTGGAGAACGCCAGGGACGCCCTGGCCAAGCACATCTATGCCCAGCTCTTCAAGTGGATCGTGCAGCGCATCAACAAGGCCCTGCACACCAGTGTCAAGCAGCAGTCCTTCATCGGTGTGCTCGATATCTACGGGTAGGCACACTCTCTGCTTGTAGGGTTGTTTAATTAGTCCTTTGTAATTTGTCTTGCCCTGCTTGCAAGGCATATAGACCTCAGCTTGTGGCAGATGATGTGTCTTGCCCTTGGCACACAACAAGCCCCACGCAGCTTCAGGCTGGGGGAGAAGTGGGGACAGAGGTGTTGGGCACAAAGAGCCTTGGCAGTGCTGGTGGCACAGCTCAGTGGGAGCCAGCAGTGTGCACAGGTGGCCAAGGAGGCCAAGGGCATCTTGGCCTGGCCCAAGCAGTGTGGCAGCAGCACTAGAGCAGTGCTCATCGCCCTGGACTGGGCACTGGGGAGGTCCCAGCTCAGTGTGCTGTGCTCAGCTTTGGGCACTCACTGCCCAAAGGCCATTGAGGCACTGGAGCGAGGGCAGCAAAGGGCTAGAGCACATGGGCAAGGGCTGAGGGAGTTGGGCTTGGTTAGCCTGGAGAAGAGGCTCAGGGGTGACCTCATGGCTCTCTCCAGCTCCCTGACAGGCTTGGAGAGAGGTGGGGGATGTCTCTTCTGCCATGGCTGCAGGGAGAGGACTAGAGGGAATGGCCTTGAGCTGAGACAGGGCAGAGTCAGACTGGATGTTAGGGAAAATGTTTTCATTATTAGGAGTGGAATACGGAATTGCCCAGGGAGGTGATGGACTCACCATCCCTGGAAGTGTTTAAGAGGTGTCTGGATCTGGTGCTGGAGGATCTGGTTTAGGGGTTCCAGCAGTGACAGGTTAATGGTTGGACTTTATGATCTTAGACATCACCTCCAACCTTGATGGTTCCATGATTCTATGAAAAAAAGCATAGTCATGTGTGGTTTGTAGTTTTGATCCTCCTTCAGATCATGTAGTCTGACCCCTAAATGGTCAGATTTGCCTCCCATGGCATTCCCATTTGGGATTTCTGAACCTCTGCTGTTTAAAACATCAGCCTTAAAGATGAGCTTGGGTAAAGGTGCCAAAGGCTGCACTCAGCTCTGTCTGAGGTTGCTATGGGCTTTGAACAAAGTACTTTGCTTCTTCATCTGTGAAACTGCTGGTGCAGTGCCCTTCTGCAGTGAGCGCTTTTGGAGGGATTGGGAACATGTGATGGGGCCAAGAAGTGCAAAAACCTCTTACTAGGCTTCAACCTGCAGCCTCAGGGGCAATGATCTGCTTCATAGTTGGACTGGGTACTAGTTACTGTCTGGTCTGTCATCATGGCACTTGAGTGCTGATGGAAGAAAGATGTGAGAGTTGTCTGTGAAGAGTTCATTTTAGCTAAAGTGCTGTGAAAAAGCAGAAGATGGAAGAGAAAGAAAGGGACTCTGTTAGTTGTGGGGTGGGAAAGGAAAGAAGTCTTGTGGGTCTAGGTTTTGTCCTCCACTCTTTCAACAGCATCCTTTTTCTGACTCTCTGGGAACCAAGGACAAGGGAGATGTCACAGGTTGCCTAGAGAGGTAGTGGTTGCCACATCCCTGGAAGTGTTCCAGGCCAGGTTAGACAGCGCCAGTGGAAGGTGTCCCTGCCCATGATAGGGGGGTGGACTAGATGATCTTTAAAGGTCCCTTCCAACCCAAATCATCTGATGATTTTAAGGTTCTGAGTGGGACAGCAGTGAGCTCCTGTGCTCCCTAAATATGTGAAGGTGCTCAGTTGCTCCTACTTTGGAAGGGAGGGTGGGATAGATGAGCTGTAGCTGCTCCAGGAACCAGGTCCTAACCCAACTTCATCCTAAATCTCACATCATGGCAGACCTAAGTCCTCCTAAGACCTGTCAGATTTAGGTGGACCTGAAGTTCATAATGAAACCCTGCCAAAGCAGTTCTGGGTCAGAACAAGAAAGCAGAAAGCTTTTATGGCTGCAGCACCTACACAA